TCTCTCTCTCTCTCTCTCTCTCTCTCTCTCTCTCTCTCTCTCTCTCTCTCTCTCTCTCTCTCTCTCTGTGTGTGTGTAGGAGTATACTCAAACCAGAAAAAGAGTATAAGATACCTTAGAGCTGAAGAGTGGTAAGGTGTGGGTGATGGGAAACTAAACTCAGGTTCTCTGAAAGAGCCATACATGCTTACAGGCACTGAGCTCTTCCTCAGAATATATTATTCAGCCCATAATATATATTTTCGGGGCGTAGGGTCTCCTATAGCCCAAGCTGGCCTTGAACTCACTATGTAATCGAAGATGACCTTGACCTTGTGATCCTCCTGCCTATACCTCCCAAGAGTTGGAGTTAGGCATACACTACCAGGTCTGATTCTCTTCAGTATGTTTTTATTGTGGCCCAAGGCAACCTTATGCTATACATTGTGTTCTGGATTAAACATGTTTACTTCTGATTCTGTGTTTTGTTTTTTCAGTTCAATCCTTGTCATAGTGTGTTTGCTATTTCTCTTTAAAGCTTGCAAGCCAGGCGGGGATCCCTCCAGGTGTCTATAATGTCATTCCCTGCTCTAGAACCAAGGCCAAGGAAGTGGGAGAGGTGCTATGTACCGATCCATTGGTGTCCAAAATTTCCTTTACTGGCTCAACAGCAACGGGAAAGGTATGTGATAATGGGGTCAAACGGGTGTTATTCTCATGCTTTCTATTGGTCAGGTGTGAAGTTACTGTTTTATGGTTTTGTTTAATTTTATTGAAGATAAAGTCTACATAGCCCTGTCCAGGCTACATGGCTGTCCAGGAACTTGCTATGTAGACCAGGCTGGTCTTGAACTCACAAAGATCCACTTGTCTCCACCCCTCAAGGGCTGGGATTAGAGAAATATACCACCACGCCTGACCTGTCATGTAATTGTTGAATTGATGTTCTAGTTTAAAACTCAAGACAGTGTTGACATTGTTCACCTTTGCCATTGCCCTAGCCTACAATATCACTGAATCCTTCCTCCCCTTCTGTAAATAATTGTTTTTACTTCCCACTGCCTTCCTAGCCATTTTTTTAAATCAAATCTATCAAAATAAGAATCTGTATTCTTCAGAATACATTGTATACATGTATGAACTTCTCAAAGAATAAATATAAGTATATTTAAAACAACATATTCTCATGTCTCCTTTTTCTTAGGCAAAGTGATATTTAAAGCAAGGTGACCTTGTGTGTACCTTTTCATTGTTGGGTAATTTTGTAAAACAAAGGTTTAGCTGCCTTATATGTTAGTTTTCTGTTGTTGCAAGATATGTGAAAAAAAATAACTTAAAGGAGGAGGGGATGTTTGGGGATGTTTTGGCTCCTGGGGAGGAGGTTTCCATCCATGGTCACTTGCCTCCCTTGCTTTTATCCCTGTAACAAGGCAGAAGTATCATGGCAGGAGGCATTGGTGGAGAAGAGCTGCTCACCTTCTGGTAGCCAGGAAACAAAGAGAGAGAAAGGGTCCAGGACCAAATACATCCTCTAAACACATTTCCCCATGACCTCCTTCCTGAGCTAGACCCCAACCCCTAATAAATACCCCACTCAGCTAGAAGTAGTGACCAGCCTTAGGACACATCTGAGCCATTGGAGGAAGGTGCTTTCTATACGAACAGTAACGCCCTGGCCGTTGATTTGGATGCTCACACTGTTTTCCTCCTACTGCCCTCCCCGCCACCCCCACCCCGGCAGATCCTGCTACATCATGCAGCAAATTCTGTGAAGCGTGTCTCCATGGAGCTGGGTGGCCTCGCCCCGTTCATCGTCTTTGACAGTGCCAACGTGGACCAGGCTGTCGCAGGGGCAATGGCATCTAAGTTTAGGAATGCTGGGCAGGTGAGTCATGCAGAATGTCTTAGTGCTGGGGTAAGGGTATGTGTGTGTGTTTTACAAAGACCACGGCCTTGCCTCTCTCCCTGGTTCCTTTGTTTATCTGCTCACTCATTTCATAGCAGGCGTTTACTGAGTACTTTCTCTCAGGCATTAGTTAGGCTTAAATAGTCCAAAAGGGTGTGAGAGCTATCTGTTGCTTCAAAGAGTTGCCAGAGCTACAAAGGTCTTTATTTATGTATGTGTGTGTGGTGCATGCGTGTCAATGCACATACATGTAGGCCCATGACCCCTTTCCAGTATGTGCAGAAGCCAGAGGAGGATGGCTGGCATCCTCTATCACTCTATACCTTATTCCCCTGAGACTGGGTCTCTCACTGAACCTGGATCTAGATAGGCCAGCAAGCCCTGGTGTTACTCTTCTCTTTCTATTCCCACTGGGAATACAAGCAAGAACAGCCACACCTGGCTTTGTTATGTGGGTACCAAAAATTTGAACTGGAGTCCGAATGTTACATAGTATCTTTTTAACCCACTGAGCCATCTCTCCAAGTACTTGACTTCTAATAAAATAACCCTTCCTCACTTCTCTCACCTCTTGAATCATCTTGTCATGGTTTTTCCTTCCCAGTGCGGTCATCTCTCCAGTTAGAAAACAATGTTCAATAGCTAAGGCCTGAGGTTCCCTGTTGTTTAGGAGAGAAGGCAGGAAAACCTTAGAACGACCCCAAAGTTGACACAGATGCAGGGGACACGGAGCAGCATGAGCACTGAACCGAAGCTGTATGCAGTTGTCCTGAGGGACTGAATGGCCTCACGCTCGCCTAGAAAACCTAGATGTCAGATCTGGCAGCACCTTCAAGACTTCTCATATAAACCTAGGATCTGAAATCAAAAAGACTAAGTGACTTGGTGCTGTGAATCAAAGCTCCTATGGACCCTATTTTCCTTCTGTTGCCCAAGCCATGGCTACTGGTTAAGGCGTATTCTTATGACCTATGTCTTAAAGACATTCATATATCTTAAGCCTGGCTGCTTAAGACATATTCATACACAACTGGGCCTTAAGAGTACAATCAACAAACAGAAAATGATTGGCTTTATTTTTAAAGACAAGAGCTCGCCTTGTAGCCCAGCCTGGCACTGAATTTGCTATGTAGCACAGACTGGCAGGAGAAACTCATCCCTCCTGGAGTAAGAAGGGTATTGCTGCATAGCCCAGTGAGCTTCTTAAATGCTTCCTGAGATAAGTAATCTCAAAGGTCATATGTGAAAGGGAGGTGGTGATGCAAACTATTCTATATTACTTCTTTGTTTTGACTTTTGGTAGTCAGTTTTACCTTTTCATAAAACCTAACTAGCTTGTTTGTTTGTTTGTTTGTTTGTTTACAGAATTAGAATGCTTTTAAGCAAACACAAAATGTCAGCAGAGTTCTACTACAAAACTGTGGCTTTGAACTATGTCAAGCCAATAAAAACTCATAGGATGCAATTATACATATACTTGTTTCTACAAGGAGAACAATTAAGAAACATTGTCAATGATAACTATATTTCCTCCAGTGTGGTTATGGTTTATCATTTTAAAATGTGAACTCTAACTGGACATAAAATAAGCAGAGTCTCAATGATTTAACCTGATGTGGAAGATGCTCTTAGGTTTACAAGCTTTTAAAAAAAATTTTTTTTTGTTTTATAAGTGTGAGTATTTTTCTGCATGCATGTATGTACACGATGTGTTTCCATGCCCTCAGAGGCCAGAAGAGGAGCCTCTGGAACTGTTATGAGCATCCATGTGAGTGCCAACAACTGAACCTGGTTCCATGCAAATACTCTTAACCTCTGAGCCATCTTTCTAGACCGCTTCCTAATTTTGTAGTTTTGGGGAGTTTTTTGTTTTGTTTTGTTTTGTTTTGTTTTGTTTTTTGGCAGAATTTGGAATAAGATCCATAGCCCATGAATGCCAGGCAAGCAATCTACTGCAGAATTCTGTTTTCAGTTCTTATTTTTAATTATATGCATAAGTGTGTAACCATGTGTATCCAAAAGAGGGCATTGGATCCTATAGACCTGGAGTTACAGGTAGTTGTGAGCATAGGTTCTAGGACCCAAACTCAGGTACCCTTCGATTGCAGTAATAACTGCTGAGGCATTTCTCTGACCCCAGAAGAAAGGCCTTGTATCCATTTTTGAGATTACAGATTCAGCCAAACTGAACTTGAATGGAGGATGTGAGTTGTCGTTTGACCGCATTCCTCCGCGGCTCTGCTCTCTGCTGCTGCTGCAGCTGCATCCCTACTCCTGGGGAACGTTACAGCCTTTGCTCTTCTACCCCATTTGCTTTATAATAGCATATTGGATTTCTGGTTTTGTAGTTATTTGGGTTTTGTTTACACAGCTTCTTGCTCAGATGCTCAGCTCCAGGTGTGTGGTAGCTATGGAAAGAGCTGGAGCAGTGTGAGCACTCAGCGCTTTTATCCCTGAGGCCAAGCCCAGCCGGGAAGAACATGGAAGGCAGGACTGATGAGAACCATCTCGGGAAGGGTTGTCTTACACCTCCTGCATCAGCTGCTTCTGGAAAACCAAGTGTGGATTTGTTTTGTCTTCTATCTAGACTTGCGTTTGCTCAAACAGATTCTTGGTACAACGGGGTATCCACGATTCCTTTGTAACGAAGTTTGCAGAAGCAATGAAGAAAAGCCTGCGTGTAGGTAATGGATTTGAGGAAGGAACAACTCAAGGGCCGTTAATTAATGAGAAAGCTGTAGAAAAGGTGAGCTGGTTTTATTATCTGCATTACGGAAACCTTGTACATCAGCTTCAAAGGCTTCCTTACATAAAAGGATTTTCATAAGGTCCTCAGCAAGGCTGTTTTGGAAATTATGGAAAAATGGAAAGAGTTTTTTTTTTTTTTTTTAAAGTAAACTCCTACCAATGTGTATGATTGAGTGGTGGTGTCTGGACATGTGCTTCCCAGCTCTGTCTGAGAACCCAAGACTGGCTCCTTAGGTCTTCTGCCTCCTGAGTCTTCTGTTTCCAGTGGTGATAGCTTTTTTCCTTGACATTCTTCCAGAAGTCTTCTAACAAAGGCACCTAGAAAATGCACACAGCACTGCAGGCTTCCTAATCACAGGTTAGGAGTAAGTGAGGGAAGCTACATTTTAGAAAGGAATTGTTGGCCGGGCAGTGGTGGCCTTTAATGCCAGTACTTGGGAGGCAGAGGCAGGTGGATTTCTGAGTTCGAGACCAGCCTGGTCTACAGAGTGAGTTCCAGGGCAGCCAGGGCTACACAGAGAAACCCTGTCTTGAAAAACTAAAAAAAAATAAAATTAAATAAGATAAATAAATAAATAAATAAATTGTTGAACATCACAGTCTGGAGGACTGGCAGGGTGAGGTTTCTCCCTGTTACACGAGTGTTTGTTTAGTCCCAGTTTTTAATTCTGCTTTTTACTTAGTGTATTTAAGTATGAGTATAGGGTGTGTGTGTGTGTGTGTGTGTGTGTGTGTGTTCAGGGGGCACATGTGTGCCACAGCACGGAGATCAAAGGACAAGCTCTAGAGTCCTTCTGTCTCTACTCAGGGTCTCGGGGACAGAACTCAGGCTCTCAGGAATGGCAGCAGGCACGTTTACATGCTGACCCATCTCACTAGCTCTGGTTTTAATTTAAGTTTTCATTAAAATTAAGTGTTCTCTCTTGGCATTTTTATATATGTTTTTCATCATCTTTTGTTTTACCTGCTCCCTGACTTCCCCTCCCCGCTCTCCACTTGCTGAGAGCCCTTTTCTCCCCCAAGTTGCTCTCCACTCGGCTTTCATATCACACATGGTCCATGTTTTGTTTTAATGTTTTTTGTTTTTTTAAATCTTTTTAAGAGTCAGAAAGTGAGGGGGGGAACGGGGTGACTCAGAGGTTAGGGGTTCTTAGAGCTTTTGCTAGGGTTACAGTCAGTTGTAAGCTGCTCAACAAGAGTGCTAGGAACCAAACTGGAGACCTCTGCAAGAATAGTCAGTGCTCTTAACCATGGAGCCATCACCTCAGGTTTCCTATAATACTGTTGGATTGTTGGCTTTCTCTTAAGCATCATTCAATCTTAGGTTGTTTGATTCATCATTGCCCTTGGAGCATTAGGCTATACCATATATAGCGTGTACACACATACTACATATATATATATACACACACACAAACACATACTACATATATATATATATGAAAGGTATGCAGCATCTGGGTTTGTATCAAATTGTTGTATGGTGTTTATTCAATAGTGAAATCAGCTTAGAACAAATTTCTGAAGCAGAACATCTGCCATGGGTAACCAATGCCTTTATATTTGAGATGTATCCAAACATCTCTTCAACCCAGACAGAGAAGTAGACAACTGAACCTAAGAGTGCAACCAGGCCTGCATCAGTAAAGGCAAAGCTCAGAGAAACGATTGAATCCTGACTGATTTTTGCTGTTTAACATTTTAAGGGATTGTACAATTTGGAAAATGTGCCTATCCAGCTTTCCCTGGTGCCCTTCTTCTCATCTCTCAGGTAGAGAAGCATGTGAACGATGCAGTTGCCAAAGGAGCCACGGTCGTGACGGGCGGGAAGCGACACCAAAGTGGAGGAAATTTCTTTGAGCCCACCCTGCTCAGCAATGTCACCAGGGACATGCTCTGCATCACTGAGGAGACCTTTGGGCCCCTGGCACCAGTCATCAAGTATGTTCCCCCAGTAGTGGAAGGAAGGAGATTGGGAAGGAAACGCTAGTCTAACTAAGACAGATTCCTGTGCTGCTTCAGAGGCTGGGTAGGAAGGCTGAGCAGCTGCAGTCAGAGACAGAGTTGCATAGCAGAGCTGAACAGTCAGAGCCAAACAGCAGAGTTGAGTTTTTGATATTTGGGGTTTGATTTTAGACTGTGTGTATTCGGATGCACATATAGGTCAGCCCTGGTGTTATTACTTAGGAGCTGTCCACTGTAAACTTTGAGATGGAGTCTCTTACTGCAACCCAGGGCTCCCCAGGTAGAGTAGGCTCATTAGCACAGGCTACCGCAACAGAGCCAGGTATCTCCCTAGTCCTAGCCTGTTTTGGTGTTTGTGTTTTGTCTTTGATGGGTGGTGTGGAGGGTGGTTATTGCTGGGGTTTTGTTTGTTTGTTTGGTTGGTTGGGTTTTTTTTTTTTTTTTGAGACAGGGTTTCTCTGTGTAGCTCTGGCTGTCCTGGAACTCACTCTGTAGGCCAGGCTGACCTCAAACTCAGAAATCCACCTGCCTCTGCTTCCCAAGTGCTGGGACTAAAGGAGTGCGCCACCACTGCCCGGCAAGGTTATTGCTGTTTTTAGGTTTGACTGAGTGTCTGTTTGAAACAAGGCCTCCCTCTGTAACCCAGGCTGGCCTTGAACTCTCAACCTTCTTGCTTTAGCCCCCCCAGGCATATACCATACCCATTTTCAAACACAAAATTCATCAGATTCCCTCATTTAGATTTCTTAATGCCTCCTAAACTTACTTTCCCCCACCAATTTCTAAGAGTATTTTTCTAATACCATCAAGGACTCTATCCTAGCAGTCTATAGGAAATGAACTATAATCTTGTATCCCACCTTAACAAATGTTCATTTGCTTGGATAATTCTCAGATCAGTGGTCTGAAAATATTCCATTTTCTACTTGGATCTAGAAGGATCTGGAAGGGCTCAGAAGAGGATGTCAGATCTGCTGGGACAGGAGTTAACAGTTGTGAGCCACCAAGCGGGCACTGGGAGTTAAACCTAGGTCCTCTGCAAGAGCAACAAGTGCTCTTAGCTAATGACCCAGCACCCAGCACCCAGCAGGCCTTTCCTTAAGGGTTTTGTTTGACAATGTCTCTGCCCGGTTGGTCTGCTTTTCCCTCTCTCTTAGAAAAGGTAGGCCATATTGCTTTCCCAGGTCTTGGAGAAGGCTGAGCGGCCGTGTCTGCACTCACTGCACTCATGTATCCTCCCCTGGGATCACTTTGCACCTCTGATCTCCTTCTTGTCAGTATTTAGGAAGTGAATCAGGAGAAAATAAAGCTGGTTTTTCTCTATTCACCACCTCACAGATTTTGCTTATGACCTACTTTAATTCTGGCAGGTTTGATAAAGAGGAAGAGGCCGTTGCCATCGCAAATGCAGCTGAGGTTGGATTAGCAGGTAGGTTTTCTGACTGGCGGCCACCATAGTCAGGACGCAAGTAAATGCCAGGCTCCGCCTTCTAAGCATTACTCTTAAGTGTAAGGTTTCTTTTGTTTTTGAGACAAGGCCTCTCTATATAATCCTGGTTACCTGAAACTCTCCATATAGCCCACACTGCCCTTGAACTCACAAAAGATCTACCTGCATCTGTCTTCAGAGTATTGGAATTAAAGGTCTGCACCACCTGGCCTGACAAACATCATCTTGCAAGCTTAAGTAATGTGTACGCTTGATTTAGAGAGAATGGCTGTGAACTGCAGTCAGGAGGAGTAAGCTGGAAATGCTGACTTAGCCACACTCCGGGGCAGGACTGATTGCCCACTGAACAATGTGGGCTTATTTTATAGACATCTAGGACTGACTGCAAGGTTTAAAGAAATGTCTTGTCCTCTAAGGAGGATGGATTGAAGAGCAGGAAGTGATCACAGAAGCTCATGTTTACAAAGTCCCAATGGAGAACTCCAGCAAGAGAGAAACAGAAGCCCAACATGATGCCCAAGGTTCTTAGGATAAAAATGTGGACAAAACCAACCTGGGGCTTTACTTGCAAGCAGGAGAACCCCAGGCCCATGTGACCAGGCATCCTCAGAGGCAGGCACGTGTGGCTTTCATGGGAATTTCTCAAGCTGTCTGTGTCTTTTTGTTCCCCTGCTAGGCTACTTTTACTCTCAAGACCCAGCCCAGATCTGGAGAGTGGCGGAGCAGCTGGAAGTGGGCATGGTTGGCGTGAATGAAGGACTGATTTCGTCAGTGGAGTGTCCTTTCGGTGGGGTGAAACAGTCTGGCCTTGGGAGAGAAGGGTCCAAGTATGGCATTGACGAGTATCTAGAGGTCAAGTATGTGTGTTACGGAGGCTTGTAGGGCTCTTCACTTCTTTAATAAAACTACCTAGATCTGTAGGGACATTCCATCCATTTTTATAGCTAACAAGTAGGTTATCAGAGTTATGAATTTTTAAAAATTCAGCCAGTCCTCATATCTTAGATGTACATCTTAACCCTTCCCTTATCTAACTAGGGACCAACGGATGCCATATACCTGTGGCGTGGGTCCCAGCCAGTACTGAGACCCCAGCACAACCCCACTGCCTCAGGACAAGGTACAGTGTGAGTATTCACATGCCCTCTGGCACCTCACAAAGTGTAGTCATTGTATGAGCAGTGGGTTCCAGGTCCTTATGGGACTGCCCAACTTCAGTTCAGAATGCAGAAAAGGAGACGAGGTACTAGGACAGCTAGATTAGGAGGAGGTGCATATCCCTGCATAGGCATCTGTCAGCCTTAATGAACAGCTGGCTGGCTGTTCCAGGGGGTTATGGCAAAGGCTTTGGTTTCTTAAGACTTCTAAACCGAATAGATTGTCTGTGCTATATAGAATGAGGGGGTGTTCCTCCTTATTTCTGGGCTGCTGTTTAAATTACTGGCAGCAGGGTTGCTTTTTTTTTTTCCCCCTCTCTTCAGTTCATCCTGGTTTGGTTTGGCTTTATGTGACAAGGTCTTGCTAAGTAGCCTAGCTGGCTTCAAACTCCTGTTTCAGCCTCCGAATGGCTAGGGTCACAGGCATGCTCTACCACAGCTGGGTAGACGGAAGTCTCCATTGCCCTAAACTTACAGCTTATGGTTCATTTTGTTCCTCTTAGAAAATCAACCCAAACTGGTGGCAAACAATCAGCAGAGTCGGAAACCATGGCTTTGTTTCTTTTCCAGTGCTGGGTGTTGAACCCATGGCCTTGTGCATAGTAGCGTGTGTTCTACCACCCAACTATCCCCAACTTTTTTTTCTTTCTTTTTCTTTAATTTTTGAGACAGAGTCTTGATAAGTCACATTGGCTGGCTGTGAGGTCCTTATTGTCCTGCCTCGGCATCCTATGTAGCTGGGGTGACAGGCCTGCACTACCAGGTCAGGCCAGTCAATTGATGGCATAGACTCTCAGCCACCTCCTGTGCTGAGCAGCTCTGCTACCTTGGGTATGCTATTTAGGGCTCCATGCCCCGCTTATAGAGACTCATGCTTGGCTTTAAGGACACTGTGTGCCTGGAAGAAAAAAAAAATGCTTCACAAAATGGTAGAAATGCAGCTCAAGTACGGGAACCATTTTGATTATGAGCAGTACCACCCTGCCCCTCCTTGAGCTCAGGGGTAACTTTGTAGAGGAAAGAAAACCAGGTGCCTCCTTGTTCACCTGCCTAAGGCTGACCCAGGATTTCTGTCCCTTGGTGTGGCTGCTGCTAAACTTGCAGAGGAGCAAAATACACTTTCACCTCTGTGAAAAATTATTTCCACAATTGCCAGTCACTGTGAAAGAGAGCTGAAGCCATGAATCTCAGGCACCTTTGCCCTAGGAAAAGCATTTCTGGTTTATGATTCAAAAACAAAACACCATACAGGGACCTGCAAGATAGCTTGGTGGGTAAAGGCTTTGCTGGACAACCTGGTGACCTGAGACCTGAGTTCCATCTCTAGAACCTACAGAAAGACAAAGAGAACCAACATGATAGTGTTGACCTCTGATCTCCACAAATGCATCAGAGGCATGCACTCCCATAAATTCAACACACACACACACACGCACACACACACACACACACACACCAAACACCAGAACTCCTTGCAACTGGTGTTGGTCTCACTTTGAAACAATTTAAGTGAGGAAAATTCTAGGTTCTTGTAGACATGCCTCCTGTCTACCTAGAAGCTGTTTATTCCCGATAGGCAACAATGGAGCTCCCCGCTCCATCCCCGCCTCTGTGCAGAGAGCCCACGGGCATACTCTGTGGATGCTCTGTGAGACATCAATGGGAATGACAGTAGAGCTGGCTGCAGTGGTTCCTAAGCACTAAGTCCCAAGCCACTGGAACTTCGAATAAGGAAGCCATGGTTCTTAAAGTCCCTGCACACAGAAGAAAGTAGAAATCTGCGTCCTAGGGACCCTGCCCAAGTGGCAAGAGTCACAACTAAGGATGTTCATAGTCCATTTATGCTATTCTTTTGTATAGTGTGTATAGTTGGTTTCTATCGCATTTTCTAATTAAAATTTTAATTTTTTTTATTGATGTGGGTGTTTTGCCTACATGTGTATCTGTGCACCACATGCATGCTGGTACCCTCAAGAGGCCAGAAAGGGACATCAGATCACTTAGATATGGAGTTATATAGATGGTTGTAATCTGCCTTGTGGGTTCGAGGAAGCGAACCCTGATTCTCTGAAGATAGGTAGCCAGTGCTCTTAACTTCTGAGCCATCTTGCCAGACTCGACATTTCTAATTTCTTAAGATTTGTACCCATCTTTTTTTTTTCAATTAATACAAGATGCTCTGCTGGTATTTTGTAGAAAATGAATAAACCCACTGAGATGTGAACTCATTTCAAATGCACTTTAAACAGTGTCAACCAATGGGTTCCTGGACTGTGTGGCAAGTTTGTACTTTTTGTGCGTGCCTGTTTGATTCAGTGGGTAGATCACTGGCCTGCACATTTGTTACAATAAGTGTAATCAACTTTTGTAATTAAAATAATGAGGGTGGGTATCACTGGTAAAGTATATACTTAGCATACTGGAGACCATGGGATTAATCATCACCAAAAAGTTAACATGAAAGAACATCTTACTTTAAAAAAAAAAATGCTTTTGGGTTATGGGAAGATGAGTTTCGATTTTGATACTGTTTTTAAACAGGATCTCCGGTTGGCCTTAAACTCCTGGGCTCAAATGATCCTTAGTTTCCCAAGTATCTATAACTGTAGGCCTGTTGTCACCAAATCAGCTAAGAGTAGATTTTTTAAAATTATTTTTAGGGGTTTGGGTCTCATGTATTTCAGGCTCACCTGGGATCTCTCCTTTCCCTACTTCCTGTGCTGGAATTATACGTGTTACCATGCCCAACTAAGGAGTGTATATTGGTGAACTTTTGTTCACCGTAAGATATGTGACAGATGGAATTTTTGAAATATCTATACAGACATGTAATATAAGGGTCAATGTACCACAGCCTGTGAGCCAAATCAGACCTGCCATCTGATTTTGTATAACTCGTGAGTTTAAGTGTTTTATATATTCAGGTGGATTGGGGTGGGTTAGAACCATTATTTCATGAAATCAATGAGTGAACACATCCACAGTGCCCCCAGGCCTGAGTAGCTGTGCTGTGACCGCAGGGCTGCAGAACCTAAGGGATTTACTGCAAAGCTGCTGACAAAGGTTTACGGCCCTCCTCTCAGCCAAGCAGGAGACACTGGCCTCCCCTGTTTATGAGGCATTATTTTATTCTATTAAACACCTTCCGTGAAAAGGACTCAGTTTCTGGGCATTTGTTACCAGGACTTCTTGGCAGGTATCAACTCAAATGACATTAGCCTGATAGTAATCCTGTCTCCCAGGTAGTGGGACTCATTTGAAAGTGCCACAGTTCATCTGTGTCTTTTTCCATCTAAGGGGCCTTTAAGCAGGGCTCCAAAGCAAGTGCTTGATTCTTTCAGTATCTGTGTTCTTGGGGAGCCAGGGGTAGGGGATAAAGATCAGACGCACAATATAAACAAGCCTATTTTGTAATGTGATGACCTTCAAATTGGGTCCCATGGGTTGTCCTCTCTGAAGGCTGGATCCCAGTATTTCAGTTACCCCTGTGCAGCTATTTTAAAACGGAATTTTACTTGAATACTTAATACTGTGATTGTTTCATGCCATACTTTGTGAGAGAAATCTCATTAAGTTGAGAAATATATATATATTTTGCTCTATAAACATGTATACATTGCTTCATTTTTCTAGTGTTTGACGTGGTATGATCAACAGATTTGAATCTCATTAATAAATGTTTAACAGGATTGGATTTCTTATTTCTGGATTAAAGTGAGCGGCTGTGTTATTTCCTTTTATTATTATTATTAATCGTTTGAGTTTTAACTGTAGAGTGTTAGGTCAACCTGGATGTAAAATTGTACTTCCTCATCAGTGAGTCCCAGATCAGTAGACCTCGTGCTGGGAGCTGAGATATTAGCACTCCACATCAGCAACACCACGTGGTCCAGAACTGTGTATTTGATTGTCCCGGGTGTAAGGGCAAGCCCCAGCTCTCTCCACTCCGTCTTCTATACACTCCACAGTTAGCCACTTTTTCCAGTCTTTTATTTTACAGAGAAGTATGAGAAGGGCATTTTCTGGGCCCCTGGTGTCCAGATACGATCCTGGAATACGAATTTTAACACTTGTCTGAGTGCATTTTTTTGTTGCTAATAACATAATACTACAGCTTGGGTACGTTGTATTGTTTTGGCTCATGGCTCTGGTACCAGGTTAAGGCATTTGGCAATGGCCTTGCTAGCAGAATCCCTAGGCGGTATAAAGCATAATATGCAAAAGACCTAACCAAACTGGCCTTTACAATAGACTCACTCCTAAGGCGCTGCATTAATCCATTTGTGAGTGGTGGCATTCGTGAAGGCAAAGCCTTAGTCAGCTCTGGAAAGGTCCTATATGACCCCGCCTCCTGGGCCTACAGGCAGCCCCCTCCTCACCGAGTTCTCCCACTAAGTGCCCCTGGAAACCCTCTTTGGGGCCTAGTCACCTTATGACACCAGTAAAATTGGATTAGGACTCCCCCACCCCCTTGACAGCTTTATTTTGAGCCACTCTTAAAGGGCTCATCTCTTCCTACATTCTAGAATTTGGGGGTTAGGAGTTCAACGTACAAATTTTGCTCCCAGGGTCCTCTGTGCCCGGGAAACCGGCTGTCCTCAAGTTGGGACTTGGAATGTTGACAAGAGCTTTCCTTCCCCATCCCCAACGCCCAGTGAGTCCATTTAAGGAGCAACAGTAGCGGGAACTCCAGGCAGAGCCTTGACCAGGGTTGAGCAGACACCAGGATGAGGGCAAGCTCCCAGGCCTCAAGGCTCCGAGTTCCCCTCAGGTCCCAGCTGGACATGATGAAGGCAGGAGGGTGGTACTGCTTCACAAATCATCAAGACAGAAAGGGTTGGCTGTGGGCTTCGTGCACTACCTCAAGTAGCCTGCAGCCTTAGCGCCCAGGCCTGATGTCTTCCCCCCTCACCCCCCCGCAGAGTGCACAGGGAACTGCCCCTGAGTGGCAACTGACAGAGGCACAAACAGCCCCCTTACTCTGCTACGTGGCTACTAAGCTCCTAGTGGGGCTTTCTTCCCAGGACGCAACAACAAAGAGGACCCTGGGTCATCCCCCAGGGCTGCTCAGAGGGCCTCCTTCAACCCCTGGTTTGCTGATGAGTTCAGAAAGATTCAGTTGATGAGGGTTACATTAGTCCCAAGGACAGAGGCCAAGCCAAATCCCAAGGAACCGGAGACACAGCCAGACACTGGCATGTCCATACCAGGGGCAATTTCCTTCACATGTTGGGTGGTCCACAGACCTCTGCTCTCCGGGGAGTCACTTCAGCCATGGGAAAGCAGGACGCAGGAGAGCTGGAAGCCTCTTCCTCTAAGAAAAAACGAAGTGTGTTCTGGGGCAAGGGAGGAAGCTGACCTAGAAAAGAAAAAGGGGAGCACATACATAGTTACACCTTTGAGAACTTTTTTTTTTTTAAGTTTTTGTTTTCATAAGGAAAAATGTCTTAGTCAGCTTTCTGTCACTGCTCACAATACCTGAGATTTGATGAACTTACAAGAAGAAAGGGTCTGCTCTGACTCACCGGTCTAGTCCACCACTTTGAGCAGCTTACTTTGCAACCGGGCCCAGAATGAGCATCAACAGTGCTGGACTGAGGAAAACGGCTCCCACGGCCGGTGGAGAAGCAGAGCGAGGAAGGCACGCACCCAGTGAGGTCACTTCCTTCCACCGGACCCCACTTCTTAAAGCTTCCAGTGTCTTCCAGCAGTGGCGGGGTTTGGGGATCAAGTCTTCCCACACATTGGCCTTTCGGGGACATTTTAGATCCAAACAGTGGCCGAAGGTCATTGTCGTTGGGATGATACATATTTGGTTTATTTACCTTTCGAAAACTCAGCAAAATATAGAACTCTTGCAAGACGGTAATGATCAAGGAGACTTTTAATTCATAGACCTAACGAGTAACACTCCGTGTCTCAGAACGGGACCTCTACAACTTACCTCAACAAAATTACTAATAGACTGATGGCGATAGATTCTTGGCAGAGGAAGTCCAAAATGAATATATCCATCATTAATTCTACAAAACTAGAAATTTCAAGGATGTCTGGTACTGAGGTTTAAGGGAAGGTTTGTCTATGAAGGGTTGCACAGAATCTTAGGGTGTGGTACTCATTAGCTCCGTTACAGAGATGGCTCCAAGGGCATGGCTGTACATCAAAATCTATCACATTATACTTAGTGTGTGCAGTTTAATCTAAGTGAATTATACCTCAATATACTTCTTTTAAAAATGACTTTTCCAGCCAGGCGGTGGTGGCGCACGCCTTTAATCCCAGCACTTGGGAGGCAGAGGCAGGTGGATTTCTGAGTTCGAGGCCAGCCTGGTCTACAGAGTGAGTTCCAGGACAGCCAGGGCTATACACAGAAGAAATCCTGTCTCGAAAAACTAAAAAAAAAAAAAAAAAAAAAAAAGACTTTTCCCGCAGTGCTGTGAACTGAATTTAGGTTTTCACACCTGTAGGTAAGCACTCTGGGCTGTATTCCCAGTTGTAAATTGGTTTTATTTTTTTTATAAATACTGTCAGGGATGTGCATGGTGGCATAGGCCTTTAATCCTAGCACACTTGGGAAGATCTCTATAAATTGCAGGCCAGCTAGGACTACACTGTCTCAAAGGGAAAAAAAAGAATGAAAGAAAGAAAAAGGAAGGAAGGAAAGGAGGAAGGAAGGAAGGAAGGAAGGAAGGAAGGAAGGAAAAAGGAAAGGAAACAAAAGGAAAGGAAAGGAAAGGAAAGGAAAGGAAAGGAAAGGAAAGGAAAGGAAAGGAAAGGAAGGGAAAGGAAAGGAAAGGAAAGGAAAGGAAAGGAGACTTCAATTCAAGAAGACTGCCCTAAGGGAGGACCATTTGGTCCTCCGGTCCTCTGAGCTTCAGAAATGTATTTGTTTTCCCAATATAGATACAAATAATAGTTTTAGTCTTCCTCCATTTGGTGTGTGTGTGTGTGTGTGTGTGTGTGTGTGTGTGTGTATGTGTGTGTGTGTGTTTGGTTTGAGATAGGCTCTTTCTATGGAGCCTGGCTTTGGCTGTCCTAGAACTTACTATGTAGACCAGGTTGGCCTTGAACTCACAGAGATCTGCCTGCCTCTGCCTGTTCAGTGCTGAGATCAAAGGAGTGTGCCACTCTACCCTTGGAATGAAGAGATGCTCTAGGGCATCCCGTAGGTAGAGGCCACATCTGAAGCTCCTATGACAACAGATGGAATGAATGAGTCCCTCTTGGCCGTAGGAGCCAAACCTGTGGTCTCTGTCATCGTTGTTCACTCTACCTGGCTAAGTGTTTTAGTCTTTGCAGACAATCCCTATTACAGTTTCTTTAAAACCTTTTTTGTAAGATAAAAGCAGCCACGGGGGCATTCATATGCAAACACATGAATGACTGTGCTCAAAAAACTATTTACAAGACACAAATTTGAAATTTATATTAGGTATGTGATCAAAACATTTCAATTTTTTTTTCCAACCATATAAATCCTAAAACCCGGGGCTGGAGCTATAACTCAGTGGTAGAGTGCTTGCCTAGCATGCACCGGACAGACTCCAATACTGAGGGAGAAAAAGAAAAAAGGATTACAGTAAAAACATAAAAAGCCATCCTTTTTTAGCACTTGCAGCATTAAACAAACAAACAAAACAAAACAAAACAACAACAAAAAAAAAAAAAACAGATGACAGTCTCCAGATCCACCTCAGGGAACTCTCTCTACAGGGAGGACCACAGGACCAGAGGACTAAATTGTCCTCCCTGGTGCCTGGCAGGCTGCTTGACTTGTCCATTCTCTGCAGGTTTATCTCTCAGTGTTAGAGGATACTCTGTCCTCTGCTGGAAAGGCATCTTTTTTTGTTGTTGTTTTGGGTTTTTTTTTGTTTGTTTGTTTTTTCGAGACAGGGTTTCTCTTTATAGCCTGAGCTGTCCTGGAACTCACTCTGTAGACCAGGCTAACCTCAAACTCAGAAATCTGCCTGCCTCTGCCTCCCAAGTGCTGGGATTAAAGGCGTGCGCCACCACCACCCGGCTACTGAAAAAGATTCTAAGGGGCAGCTGTGCAGGCAAAGTCTGTAGATTCAGGCCAGCGTTCCTTAACTGTATTCCCAGATTCAGCTACATTAGCATAAGGAAAATATATTTCTCCTTCAAAGAAATTCTAGAGAAAATGAGAAGGCTTTTCCTTAGGTCGGCATATGTATTTGATAGTAGAATACAAGAGTCTACACCTTGTCAAAACATGTGGCCAATAATACATTTAAAAGAATAAAATCAAGACTCAACATCCAAGATATCTTGGTCACATACCAAAAAAAAAAAATCCTCCTCACCATATGAAGGAAGTGTTGACGAATACATATTTTTAAATTATGATTGTGTGTATGAGTGTGTGTGTGAGCCGGGCAGTGGTGGCACACGCCTTTAATCCCAGCACTTGGGAGGCAGTGGCAGGTGGATTTCTGAGTTCGAGGCCAGCCTGGTCTACAGAGTGAGTTCCAGGACAGCCAGGGCTACACAGAGAAATCCTGTCTCGAAAAACCAAAACAAAAAAACAAAAGAAATGTGTGTGTGTGTGTGTGTGTGTGTGTATACGCACTTGCACATGTGTGAATACATGTGCATATACTGCCAAATATTTTGTGTGGAGACCAGAGGACAACTTTTGGACATTGTTTTTTTTCCCTCTACCATGTGGGTCCTGGGGATCGAACCAAGGTC